ACCGAGCAGAGGAGACGAGGTGGTTGAATGGTCAGGTCTCATGGTTTTGAATAGCTTCATGGTTGAAATGGAGATGGTTAAAGACCTACAGAGTGACCCGGGTACAAGGTTTTAAATGCCCATTGGAAAACCAGCCTTTAATAATTGAATTAAAGTCTCTAAACATCTGACACTGACAGAGATTTTGTGAAATATAGGAACAAGAGTCACAGCTCGGTCTGTTGCAACATTTTGATTCATTCTCTTAATCTACGTCAAACAAAAAGGACGCAATGTGTCACAACGACTTTAGCAAAAATGAATGGTACAGTAAAGTGGTCCCTCATTTTAACACGGTTCACTTTTCGCGGGCCTCGCTTTTTTTTACAGCGTTCTTCTCATACTCCGCGCGTATTCTCCAACAACATCATATAACCGCTAGTATAAAGCCTGGTTCACACGGCAGGATATTTAGGCCGATTTAGACCCGATTTACCCCTTACGACAATCTTAAGAAACGCTCCGATTTCCATAACAAAATCTTACAGATTATCCTGCCGTGTGTGGTGTGTTAAGACTCCACTCGTCGCTCGGAAGGACATCGGGACTGCTCCCGATCTCAAATCGGGGATATCCAACATGTTGGATTGTTTTGGCCCGATTTCTTGTCGTGTGTGGTGTCCTCCGAGGACAAGCGAGCGCGTTGCCATGACTACGGCGTGTAGCCAATAAGAAGACGAGGTGACAAGCCGGTGAGGAAACACCGGAAAAAAACCAAAACACAGCAGCATGGCTTTGACCATTGCCTTTTCTTTGGATTACGTGTCTTCTCTGTTAACAACAAACTGCACACTATCGCCACTGCATCCTCTTCGTCCGCCATGACTGTTTACTCTGAAGTCACGCTTGATCTCGAGAGATTTTGTGAGATTTCCGTCTGACCTGGGAATGCTCGGGGGGGGTGTCGGTTCGTGTGTGATGTTTGTGGCTTGCGTGATCTTGCCGTGTGGCTACGCACCACACACTGCACGACCAAAGTGGTTAGACGCAGGATTTTTAATCTCCCCGTGTGGGGTCTAACACGGAGAAAAATCGGCCGACAATTTTAAAATCGTCTCGTGTGAACCAGGCTTAACATGACAGTCAGAAGAAAACGTAGTTCTCTCTGCGTTAGGTCTCTCTTTGGTCTCTCTTTGGTCTCTCTTTGGTCTCTCTTTGGTCTCTCTCTGGTCTCTCTCTCTGGTCTTTATTTGGTCTCTCTCTGTTCTCTCTCTCTAGTCTCTCTTTGGTCTCTTTCTTTGGTCTCTCTCTGGTCTCTCTCTCTGGTCTTTATTTGGTCTCTCTCTGTTCTCTCTCTCTAGTCTCTCTTTGGTCTCTTTCTTTGGTCTCTCTCTGGTCTCTCTTTGGTCTGTCTGGTCTCTCTTTGGTCTCTTTCTGGTTTCTCTCTGGTCTTCCCGTGGCCCTCAGTCCTGCTCCTGCCCCTAAGCGCCCACTGCAGCTGTATTTTACAGTGTATGCACGGCTTTTGACAGCTGCAGCAGCGCTCAGACCTACAACCAACAGGTTTGACATCTCTCGTCTCTCTCACTTCAGCTGTCGTCAGTTCAGATGGTTATAAAAGTGTATGAGGAGTTTTACAGCCTTCAAACATACAGTTGCTACTGAGAGAATTTCACTTTTTGCGGGTTATTATTAGACCACATTATCCCTGCAATAAACCAGGGACCAGCAGAAAAGTTAAACATTGTCAGACGTTGCTGGCTTAATTTATAATCCCAGTTTTTTCTACACTTTTCTCCTCATTCGTATCACATATAGTAGACTTTCTCTTCTCCTTAAAGGGCCCCTCCTCGTGCGGCGCTTCCTTCCTGTTTCCGCTGCAGCTGTGGTGCCTTTCAGCACGCTCCATCAAACACACAGCACTTTTACTGCAACAGAGAAGGTGGTGCTGCTTCAAGTTATAAATCAGGTCATAAATTCGTCCTGGTCATCAATCATCTGCCAGTAATTTATCTTTTAATCCATGGAACGCCTCATTTCCCCTATTGCGCAAATGAAATCTCCGTTCAATTACCGGTAGACTTGATCAAGGCTGTGGTTCATGACCTGAGTTGACAACGTTGCGGTTTGGGAATCGAGGTTATTAAGGGTTGAGTTGAAAATGCCATTAGCAAATTGCAAAGAGAGTTACGCTACACAGTTTAAAACAATGGTTCAGCCTCAGCAAGTTTAAAAACATGTTCCAAAAAGGGGATTGGAAATGTATTAGTCGAGTCGGGAATATCATTTACTTGTAAATTTAAAACCGAGGCAGTGGACCCAGGACTGAAGAAGCTCCCAGGCGGGGAGGGGAGGCAGTCCATGACTTTTTTGCCTATTCCTTTTAACTATTAAGAAGGTCCTTTATTCGTCCCAATATTTCAATAGTCTAGACTTAAGACTTCTACCACGATAGAAATGTGTTCCACATTCTCCCTCCATCCTCTCATATCTCTCATGATCATTTTAATAATCTTAAACACGCCTCTTACACCTGGAGCTGGATGGTGCTGTGTCCACCCCGGTCTTCTTGGTGACCTCGGCAGTGTGTTCTTAGCCGGACACGTGCCTCTCTCTGTGTTTACCCACGATGTTGACTCTGCACATGAGACTGTTGCTACGGGAGATTCTAAAGACTCTCATTGGATGCTTGGCTCGGTCTGTCTGAAGAGGAGCGATTACATGATGTAAACCCATCGTCAGTAGTTAAACTCAAGGCTTCGTCTGATGTAACAGATGTGCAATACTTCACAGACAGGGGTCGAATCGGCAGCTTCAGCCCATTCCTCATCATTCTCTTCATTTCGAGGTCTTTCACAATAAGCATTAGATGGAATTGTGACTCAACCTCAAGAATTATCCAGGATTTGTTGATCTGGTCTCAGTCTTGTCTCTCTCCCTGGTCTCTCTCTGTTCTCTCTGTTGTCACTTGCCGGTCTCTCTCTGGTCTTTTTCTGATCTCTCTCCCTGGTCTCTCTGTCTGGTCTCTCTCTAGTCTCTTTCTGGTCTCTCTCCCTGGTCTCTCTGTCTGGTCTCTCTCTAGTCTCTTTCTGGTCTCTCTCCCTGGTCTCTCTGTCTGGTCTCTCTCTAGTCTCTTTCTGGTCTCTGTCTGGTCTCTCTCTAGTCTCTTTCTGGTCTCTCTCCCTGGTCTCTCTGTCTGGTCTCTCTCTAGTCTCTTTCTGGTCTCTCTCTAGTCTCTTTCTGGTCTCTCTCCCTGGTCTCTGTCTGGTCTCTCTCTAGTCTCTTTCTGGTCTCTCTCCCTGGTCTCTGTCTGGTCTCTCTCTAGTCTCTTTCTGGTCTCTCTCTATTCTCTTTCTGGTCTCTCTCCCTGGTCTCTCTGTCTGGTCTATCTCTAGTCTCTTTCTGGTCTCTCTCCCTGGTCTCTGTCTGATCTCTCTCTATTCTCTTTCTGGTCTCTCTGGTCTCCTTTGTAACTTGTGCAGTATCCTACTTGTATATTTGAAAATATATCACAGTATTTGCTGGACTATCAAGCACACACTAAACCAGCTGAATTGAAAAAGAAAGTACTTTTTGTCACATATTGAATGCAAGCCGCAGGTTTTCTTGTTTAATGCCTCTTAACGCACTTTTCAAGATGATCCGAGCACTTTGGTAAATATTTTGTGACGATTTTTGCGTCTCTTGTCATCTTGAACTTTTATATTTTGTTTGACTTTTGTGCAGAAAAAACTTATTGACTGAACCACACGAGCACTTTTAGTAAATTCTAGTTTGTTTCCGAACAGAGAAATTCTGGATGGATTTGGAAACATTTGCCCGATTTTTGTCGCACCAATGAAATATCCCAAGATGAATGGGTGTGGCTTGGACATAATATTGCTGGAGTTTCGGTTTTTACCACAATGTGTCATTGTGGGCAGACTGAGAAACTGGGCAGACTGGTATTATAGAGTTCTTGCAAAATCCGGTGTGTCTTTCAGTTAACCTGCTTGATGTTGAGTCTTCACCTAATTCTTTCTCTTCATTTATGTTTTTGCACTTCAGTTAATGTGCAGACCATAATAAATGTGACAATTCGGGCGTTCTGCTCTCCCAAAATTCCATCCGATGGGCGGGGGAGCGACTGAATTTTGCGTTGCATTATGGGTAACACTTGCCTTCGCAACTTCCGGTTCTCTCTGCCCGGCGCATTTTCTCTAAATGGTTGAGTGTTTTCGTCATTTTACATTATGCAAATACATTCCCGTCTCTAACTAGTGGCATATCGCGCAAATCATCCGTCCAATTCACATTCTTCCCTCTTAGCTGAACTTCATTCTCATTGTTACCATCTGTCACTCGCACACACAGCCGTTTTCGTTCACTCTGCTCGCTGTCATCTTCTTCTAAATCTTCATAAACACCATCCGCTCGTTGAACTAGCAACAACAATTCCTCCTTTCGTTTTCCCACACTGCAAATACCCTTTCGCTTCAACCTTTCACGCAATTCAGGCACTGTCAATCGTTTGTTGTTTTCGTGAGCCATATTCGCCATTGTATGAAATCAACCGGAAGTGAACTGGGCAACAAACTGTGTCATTTTTTGATCACAGCGCCGCTCAGTGGATGAAATTTTGGGAGAGCAGAACGCCCGAATTGAATCTTATTTTCCTCATTTTTTGTAATGCCTTTGAAAATTATGAGGGACATGAATCGCAATATATAGCAGAATTTAATCGCAATACTTGTTGTATCACAATATGTAAAACAAAATCACAATAATATTGAATTGTGGCCCAAATATAGCAATATTATCAAATCATAATTGCCATTATTGCCAATTCTCACCCCTAATTTGTATCGCAAACTCCTCAAGTCAAATCTATAATTGGATACGACTTTGGCATCTTAATTTCTGGGCGATCAATTTCACATGAACGTTTGCTTTTTTGCATGTTTTCCAATGTGTTTTTAATGCAAAAGCCAACTAAATTTAATTGAGGAATTGTTTTGACCGATTCTCTTGTGTTTCTGCAGGAGTGGTGTCGGTGAGTTTCGAGGAGGATGAGGAGGGAAACCTGTGTCTTGTGGCCTACCCGCTGCACGCAGACGTGGCCACAGACCTGGAGAACAAGGACCCCTCGTCGGACTGCGAGCCCAAAACCAAGATGCTGAAGTGGAGCAACAAGAAGCACGCCGCCCTACTGGTGGACAACGACAACTACAGCAAAGAGAGGGCCAGACACAGCCGCAAGGACGACAAGCTGGTCAGGTGAGGATGTGTGGATACCGCTGCTGCTTTATGACCTCCTCTGCTGCTACTAATGTACACACAGCAGTATATATGTACACACAGCAGTATATATGTACACACAGCAGTATATATGTACACACAGCAGTATATATGTACACACAGCAGTATATATGTACACACAGCAGTATATATTTACACACAGCAGTATATATGTACACACAGCAGTATATATGTACACACAGCAGTATATATGTACACACAGCAGTATATATTTACACACAGCAGTATATATGTACACACAGCAGTATATATATACATACAGCAGTATATATGTACACACAGCAGTATATATGTACACACAGCAGTATATATGTACACACAGCAGTATATATGTACACACAGCAGTATATATGTACACACAGCAGTATATATGTACACACAGCAGTATATATTTACACACAGCAGTATATATGTACACACAGCAGTATATATGTACACACAGCAGTATATATTTACACACAGCAGTATATATGTACACACAGCAGTATATATGTACACACAGCAGTATATATTTACACACAGCAGTATATATGTACACACAGCAGTATATATGTACATACAGCAGTATATATGTACACACAGCAGTATATATGTACATACAGCAGTATATATGTACACACAGCAGTATATATGTACATACAGCAGTATATATGTACATACAGCAGTATATATGTACACACAGCAGTATATATGTACATACAGCAGTATATATGTACATACAGCAGTATATATGTACACACAGCAGTATATATGTACATACAGCAGTATATATGTACACACAGCAGTATATATGTACATACAGCAGTATATATGTACACACAGCAGTATATATGTACACACAGCAGTATATAGCGACTACTGATGCTACTGCTTCACCACAAGGCAAGGCAAGATTTTTTGTATAGCACAGTTCGTACACAAGACAACTCAAAGTGCTTAACAAAATAAGGGATAGTACATTAAAAAGGGTGAAGATGCATTCCTTCTGTTGTTATAGTGAAACAGAACTGGTTTTAACCTGGATTTGAACATTATCAAATGTTCAAATCCTGTGAGCCTGCCTCACAGTTTCTGGATTTTAGCTGCATAAATCTGAGACGCTGCCTCCCCGTGTTTAGTCCTGACTCTGGCACCAGCAGGAGGCCAGTCCCTGTGCTCCTCAGAGTCCGAGTTGGTTCAAAATGGAACTAACATGTCTCAGATGTAGTTTGGTGCGAGGCCATGGAGAGACTTGTACACCAGCAGAGCTACTTTAAAGTCTATTCACTTAGCCGCAGGAAGCTAGCGCAGAGACCTGAAAACTGGACTAAAGGGATCATACTTCCTGGTTCTAGTCTAGACTCAGGAAGCACCATCCCCACTACTGGTTCTCCTGCCACTGTATGTCACCATCACCACTATAACCGCTACACACAGCTACTTTAAGCATCAAATCTACTACAGTAATAATACAGCCCAAAGTTGTAGTTAAACAAACGTGTTTTTCTGTTTCAGTTACAACCGTGAGGACTCGCAGCAGCCGCAGGCAGAGGTGCTGTACTTCAGTCTGGAGAAGAGCAGCTTGTCGTCGCAGATGAAACACAACCCGTGGAGCCTCAAGTGCCACCAGCAACATCTGCAGCGCATGAGGGAGAACGCCAAGCACCGCAACCAATACAGTATCCTTCAAAACAGAAGTGCTCAATGTGGATTTAGACCGTTAGTTATGGACCTAAATGTATCTGTTATCTTCAATGATATGTACCGGTACTACTAATTATACTAGCCTTGAGAAGAACTGTAAATTATAATATACACAATACTCACAACAGGCAGTGTGTGTGTGTGTGTGTGTGTGTGTGTGTGTGTGTGTGTGTGTGTGTGTGTGTGTGTGTGTGTGTGTGTGTGTGTGTGTGTGTGTGTGTGTGTGTGTGTGTGTGTGTGTGTGTGTGTGTGTGTGTGTGTGTGTGTGTGTGTGTGTGTGTGTGTGAGTGTGTTTTGTCTTTTGTGTTTGTATTGTTCTTTTTGAATTATGTTATTATTTTTGTCTGCCTTACCGTATCAGCCATTTTACCATTAAATAAATCAAATGAATCAATAAATAAGAAAATAAAAACTTGCCTAGATGAAGACCTGAATAGGGGCCGAAACGTATTGCAACGTCCCTTCAACAATAAAGGATTTTTAAATTGAGTCAGAGTGCCTCAAACCTTTTCCTTTTTGTTTTCTACTTCATCTCTCCTCTGACCCTTGAGGACCCCCTGACTTCTCACGTTTACCCTGTATTATTGGATCGCCGTATGCGCTCTCTCCTCTTGCGTTTTTAAATAAATCTGATGCATTATACTGTGTGGAAAACCTCCAGAGCTGTGGTCCTTAACCCTCGGCTCAGAATTCATCCTCCTGGAAAACCTGACGTGGAGCTACAAAGTGCCGTGTGTGCTGGACCTGAAGATGGGCACGCGGCAGCACGGAGACGACGCCACAGAAGAGAAGAAGGCCAACCAGATCCGCAAGTGTCAGCAGAGCACGTCGGCCTCCATTGGGGTGCGCCTGTGCGGGATGCAGGTGCGGCCTTCTCTTCTACTTTTGTTTTGCACAATTAAGCAATCCTGGTTTTGAGGCGCATTAGTTAAAGCTGGTTCATCTGTGAACAAAGGCACAATGCTTTAAAATGTGACTCTCCCTGTTCCAATGTTTAACAAAACAAGCTGATAATCAGGAAAATGCAACATGACTTTATTTACAGATATGAGCTCAACAAGTGCAACTGTGACCGGGTTCCAGCTGAACCCGTAAACAAACAGTTGTCGGACATTATAGAACTTTCCTTAACTCTAACTTAAACTGTAACTTCTAACTTAACTCTCAACATTCTTCTATTTTATGAGTTTTCAGCTATGAAAATAACCATCTCTGTAAACGCAGAGTGACACTTGGTGCTCGCCTGAATCTAAGATGAAAGACTTTCACGTGTGCCTCATAGTGACAGCTGTGGTCCTCGTTCAGCAGTCTGACAGTGCTGTGTGTCTCTGCAGGTGTACCAGTCGGACTCCGGACAGCTAATGTTCATGAACAAGTATCACGGGCGGAAGCTGGCGCTGGCCGGCTTCAAAGAGGCGCTGTTCCAGTTCTTCCATGACGGGCGGCGCCTGCGCAGGGAGCTGCTGTCTCCGGTGCTGCGGCGTCTGCGCGACATGAAGGCGGCGCTGGAGGCCTGCGAGTCCTACAGGTTCTACTCCAGCTCTCTGCTCATCATCTACGACGGAGACCCGCCCCGCAGCAGACCCCGCCCCCGCGGAGGAGAGGAGGGCGAGGACGAGCCCAGTGATGAAGAGGAGCAGAGCGACGAAGAGGAGGGTGCCTGGTGCTCCGCCCCTCGCTCTGCGGCGCCCGAGGGCGGCGAGGTGGACGTGCGCATGATCGACTTTGCTCACACCACGTGTCGTCACTTCGGCGAGGACAGCGTGGTGCACGAGGGACAGGACAGCGGCTTCATCTTCGGCCTCCAGAACCTGATCTCCATCATCTCGCAGCTGGAGGACCACAGCGCAGACTAGACACGCTCTGGAGACGTTTGTTTGATTGTTTCTGCGGCCGCGAGCCGCCTGCTGCTCTGTGCGAGCTGCTGCAGCTCTGAGCTGCTGCAGGACCGGCCTTTGGCCCGAGCGGCACTTTCCTCTCAGAGACTTGGAGACGGGCCTCAGCCCTTGTCCCGTCTGAGGCAGTGAGTTCTCTCTGAGAGAGACGGACTGGAGTAGTGTAGACTGGTGCTTTCCCTGTGACTCAGTGTTTAGTGTTTCATCATCATCAGGAGCAGACTGCAGCTGTAGCATCAGTCTCTGATGAGGACCGTGTCCTCGTCTGTTGGACCGCAGCAGTTACTCGTGTCCCGTGGACATGTGTAGAAGGGACGCGCTCCTCCAGATTCACCTCTGGATGTTCAGGAGACGCACACTGCTCTGGTTCTGTAGTCGGTCAATGTTTTGCTTCTGTCTTTCCCCTTTTCATTCCTCAAAGAGAATTTATTGTTTAAAGACTATTAAAAAAAATGCTTATTTATTCGACACTTTGTTTGATACTGAAATGGAATCCGCTACATTCCATACGACCCAATACCACTTTATGTTTTATTGACTTGAATGATTTTGTTATTGAGCTGCTCGCTCTCTATACTGTGTGTCAGTGTCTTGATCAATAAAGGCATTCATTTGTGGTAAAAACAGACGTTTCTCTTTTTTTCTCCCAAACATCAGACACATGATGAAACAGAAACAAATGAAATGGTGAAGTCATGTTTCCCAGTGAATACCTTTCTCTATGATCTCTAGCACAATATCCTTCATGAAAGAAAGAGGGGAATAACAAAGGAGAGAATACAGATGTCTATGGTCTCCACAAACCGAGAGAGCATACTAAGAGAACACAAGGCACAGCGGTTAGTGCTTGTGCTTCACAGCAAGAAGGTCTTGGGTTTAATTCCACCCACAGGCCTCTCTGTGTGCAGTTTGCATGTTCTCCCTGTGTCTGTGTAGGATTCCCTACCATTAAAAAACAGGTATAGATAGATACCTGTAAATACTTTAATGATCCCCGTAGGAGAAATTCAGGTGTCCAGTAGCAGCAAAAATAAAATTTATCATTCTAAAAAGCTAACAATGGTAATAATCAGCAACAGCCCTTCATGCTCGATTAAAATTTTTCAAAAAGTTAGCATTTCTCGCCTGATCCACTTGGTTTGGACCATGAATCCTCTCTGCTCCGGTCTGGACCAGTGTAAAACCATGAACCCTGAACTGCAGCAAGCTCTCAGGTAGAAAAGTGCAATAAAAATAAAAATTGTAAAGCACATAACAACAACAGGACTTGCTGCAGTTTTCCAGCGCATTCAAAGTAAAGTATAGTTCAGGCTGAATGAGTGTTTGTGAGTGCGACTGTGTGAGGACGGATGCAAATTAGCCCAAGGCTATAATCCGGAGAGGTGTGTGCATTAACCTGCACTGTCCCAACCAAATAAACGATACATACAAGAACAAGAACAGGACAGTAGTAAGAGCACACAAAATATATAATATAAGAAGCTAAAATGCTTCTTAACTAGCTTTAAATGCTCCATAAGACCGTATATAGTGAATACATACAGTATATATATATATATATATATATATATATATATATATATATACTGTATATATATATATATATATATATATATATATATATATATATATATATACCACCTCCACCACCTTTATATATATATATATATATAAAGGTGGTGGAGAATGAGCGTGCGAAGATCCTGTGGGACTTCCAGATACAGACCGACCGAATGGTAATGGCAAACCAACCTGACATCGTGGTGGTAGACAAAGGGCAGAGGACAGCCGTGGTGGTGGACGTGGCAATTCCAAGCGATGGTAACATCCGGAAAAAAGAACATGAAAAGCTTGAGAAATACCAAGGTCTCAGACAGGAGCTGGAGAGGGCCTGGAGGGTAAAGGTGACAGTAGTGCCCGTGGTGATCTGTGCACTCGGGGCAGTGACCCCGAAGCTAGAAGAGTGGTTACAGCGGATCCCTGGAACAACCTCGGACATCTCGGTCCAGAAATGTGCAGTGCTAGGAACAGCAAAGATACTGCGCAGAACCCTCAAGCTCCCAGGCCTCTGGTAGAGGACCCGAGCTTAGAGAGGGATAACCGCCCGCGGAGGGCCAAAGGTGAGTGGACAATTTAATTATATATATATATATACTTTGTTTATATGTGTACATGTCTGAATAATAAATAGATACAGTGACTTTCAGTGGAAAAATTGCAGTATTGACCATTGCAGTGTCTGTCACTTCCAGTCTCTCTGCCTAAGACCCTCAAATAAGGTCAGAAATCAAAGGGAAATAAATAACTTAGACTTGAATTTTAAAGGGTACATCAAATCAGTAACATCAGCAGCTTTATACCATCAGAAAGCAGTTCTGATACAAGACCCGACTAGAACACACACACATCACATTAGCCCTGGGTCTCTGCACCGGCTCCATGTGGCTCAGAGAAGAGACTTTAAAGCAGCTCTGTTTATTACAAGTCTCTCCATAGCCTCAAACTACATCTGTGACATGTTAGTGTCATATGAACCAAGGAGGACTCTGAGGAGCACAGGGACTGGCCTCCTGCTGGTCCCAGGGTCAAAACTAAACATGAGGAGGCAGCCTTTCAGATTTATGCAGCTAAAACTTGGAACAGTCTTCCCGAAAATGTGAGACAGGCTTCTGCTCTGACAATGTTCAAACCCATGTATAAAACTGCGAACAACTCAATCTTCACTCTGTTTAATGTACTGTGATTATTTGTGATTTTAATACAAATACACCCATCCCTTGCCTTACAGGGAAATTTTGTTAATTCAATTTACATAACCAGATCAAGTGTCCTGGAGCTTGTTGACCTGGACTTGGGTTTTCAATGGTCTGTTCCCTGCGCTCTTAAGGCCTGCGTCATTGTTAGTTTTTCTGATTGAGAGACTTTGAAGCAGCGACGGAGGCGACTGGCACACTTTAATCACGATAATCTTTCTGTACGCAGCAGGACTTTGCAAAGAGAGCGTGTGTGTGAAGTTAAGCAGGAAGTATTATAATCGCTCACACGGCGTGGTACAGACCCCAAATGACCACATCCGCATGCTCTGTACTCGGAACAGGGAACAAGGAAACAGTTGAACTTCCTGATGTTTAAAAGACGTCGTGCTTAGAATCTTTCACATTAAATGAAGCCGGTGGGTCAAGATACTGTGGTCTGTAACAAAACACCGGAAGTTCAGTTGAGTCAGCAGCAGTTACTTTAAAACAAGTGGTTTGGGTTTGACCTGTCCGCAAATATCTGACATCTGCTCAAAAATCGCCAAGAATATTGCACTAATCAGCAAATGTAAACATTTACAGGATGTGAAAGGTCTTAGGGTGTTATATCGCTCACGTATCCTGCCTTTCATGCCTGCTCTCAGATCTGGGGAAACACCGTCCGTCATCCAGTACAGACTCCAGAAAAAAAAGATTGTTCAAAAAGAAAGAAATGTTAAATGCAGGATATATTATGTACAATAAAAGTGGCAATCAAGAAACAGTGTCAATAGTCCATCCATCCATCCATTTTCTACCCTTTAATCCATTTCTGGGTCAGGGGGGTGGCAGTCAGAGATGCCACCCAAGTCTCATAGCACCAGCCCCTCACTGACCCTCTGCAGGTGGTGAGTCCACAGGAGAGTGTCAATAGTAGTGCAGGAGCTGAGGAGCTCCTTCAGTGGAATACTGAGGAGAATACTGAGTGGGGAAAAAAAAACCTGCACTACTAGTGTCAATAGTAGTGCAGGTTCTTTTTTCCGTCATAATGCAGTGATTTAAAGTGACTTGTTGTACAGTCTGACAGCGGTGGGGATAAAGGCCCTGCGGTAGCGCTCCTCCCTACACTGAGGGTGTCTCAGTCTTCCACTGAAGGAGCTCCTCAGCTCCTCTACAGTCCTGTGCAGTGGGTGGGAGGTATTGTTCATGATGGAGGTGGCTTTGGCTAGCACCCTCCTGTCCCTCACCTCCTCCACAGAGTCCAGGGAGCAGCCCAGAGTGGAGCTGGCCCTCCTGACCAGCTTGTTCAGTCTGCTCCTGTCCCGCTCTGTGCTGCCCGGGGCCCAGCACACGGCAGCGTAGTAAATGGCAGAAGCTACCACAGAGTCATAAAAAGTCCTGAGCAGAGGCCTGCTCACTCCGAAGGACCTCAGCCTCCTCAGAAGGAAGAGGCGACTTTGGCCCTTCTTGTGCAGGGCGTTGGTATTATGGGACCAGTCCAGTTTATTGTTAATGTGAACACCCAGGTACTTGAAGCTGTCCACCAGCTCAATGTCAAAACTTGAAATCACTGATAATCTTCAAGTCTTGAAATGATGAACTCCAAACATCCAAACAAGGTTTGAAAACAGAGAAGGAAGTTATTACCGAAGAGGACCAAGATGTGACTCTGGAACAAACTGGAGACACCATCTACGTGTCTCCAGTTTCTCCAGTAAGTGCTACGAGCCTATGATTGAATGGTGAGCACAGACATCATCCTGACATCTGTCGACTGATTGACAGATGTGAAATGGATTGGCCCTGATGAGCTTTTGCTTCTGCCTACTCCTTTTTTTAGCTGTGACTTGTAAATATAAAATTCTAGTATAACTTGCGTGCAAATTATTAGATACATAAAAGGAAATTTGTCACCTGTTTACCTCATGTTGCTGCATCATGTAGAGTAACTATAGTGAATAGAGTGGTAGGTAAGTCTTTAACTCACAGACCGTGTATCAGGAGTGTCCATGCTGCCTCCACCACTGAGGCCAGAGGAAGCTTCTGTGACAGACGATGTGTCCTTGTACAAAGACATGAATGGATTTAAATCGATTAAATGTTTATCATTCTTCTCTCAAGGCAGAAGCAACACGCAAACTTGTTTTAGAAAGCAGGTCAGATTTCTGATCGTGATAATCAAGGCAAGGTAGGTTTATTTGTACAGCACAGTTCCTACACGAGACA